TATTCTATCCAGACTCAGGTGTCTTACCTTAGGAAAGACATTGAATTCTTGGAAAAGATTCTGAGGAAGGCTACTAAGATGATACCTGGAATGGAAAGGTTGTCATATAAGGACAGGCTAAAATATCTGAAATAGTTTTCTCTTGAAAAGAAAAAAAAATTTAGGGATCTGATTAAGATGTTTACAATTGTTCAGAGTATTTATAGTGTTGATGCATCATTTTTTTTTTTGTACTTAATGGTGAGAAAAGTAGGACTAGAGGACACAAATATACATTTGGGCAGGGTTAGTCTTGTTCAGCTAAAGCACTATTAGTTTTCTAACAGAATAGTTGACTTTTGAAATGGCTTGCCTTCAGTAGAGGTAAACGCAGTAAGTTTAAAGGTAGACTTGATAAATTTTTGAATGATAAGGGCTGACTTTATATGTTTGTATTTTGTGATTATTTTTCGTTTTAAGTTGAGTGATGGGATAGCCTAGATGGATCAACATATGATAAATTACCTTCTCTTACATAATAGCTTTTCTCAACAATTACTACCCTCAATAAGAGCAAATTTACAGTTGCCACTAGCCTTGTGCTTCCTCTTACATCTCCACGTGTTTGCATGTGTTACAGCTGCATTGTACCATGCAAATGAACATGTGACAATTTCCACCAATAGGAGTGTGACACACCCTCCTAGTGCAGCTGATTCCCTCTATGTTGTAGAACCCTGTCTTCACTTCTTGATTTGGCACACTTGAGTGCAGATATGTTTTAATTTCGCTCATTTCTATTTCCTTTTTTTATATTTCATCTAATTTGTTCAGATAAATCACATACTTGTTTTTACATTGTGTTATTTCATGATAATTTGTGGATTGAATTTGTTTTATCCACTCAAGTTTCTTTTCTTTGAATTCTCAAAACAGTTTTACAGTGTCATTCTCCATGCTCTTATCCAGCCTTCTTTTGAATCCTTGACTACCTGTTGCTTATCCCACCTGTTTTGCTCCTTTTTCCCAGTGGTGATTGTAGATCAGATGTGTTTGCTTTTGATGTATCACATATCCATTACCATCGTGTTTTCCTTCCCAAAACCTTGGTGGCTTGTGAGGGAATCATCACTTTCATGTTCTTATTTCTCCTTTGTATTCCTGTTATGATCTGGATGGTCTCCTCTGCCTGTTTCGTGATCTCTGATGTTAATTTGCTTGTACGTCTTCATTCCTCAGTTCCATTTCCCACCTCCTTTTCATTGAAATATTTCTTCCACCCCTGACCTTTCTCCTGTGATCCTTACTGGTTAGATTCGCCAACTCCTTTGGTTGGCTTGTTCTTCCTTGTCTTCAGTTTTCTATAAAATTTGGTTGTTCTTTCCACTATATCGGTCATCTAACCCTATCTGTCTGTTGGAGATGATTTTCCAGGCTGGCAGTTGGACCACACTGCACACTTTCTTCACACATTATTTACATTCGGCCATTTTCTCCTTCTCTGAATACCGACTGCTGCCTTTTGCCATACTTCAGTTCAACCTTGAGTGGGTAAGTTTTCTTTTTATTTATTTATTTATTTACGTGGCATTATGGTTCATATAGGATCCTACTCTGTGGTTTACTATTTGACTGGGAAACTCCCATCCTACCACTTTTTGGATGTTGGTTCCCAAGTGGTCTACTTTTGGATGGGAGCTAGACCAGTTACCAAAATCTGCACTGTACGGCCTTTATGGTCTATTACACCCACCATTGAGATGACTGCTAGTATGTTCATCCTCATGGTATGTTACATCACAAATATGCCCATCCCAGACTATACCAACTCATGGACTATCACAAGTAAAGCAAGGAAAGGATTGATGCCCATCTCCTTGTTCCTGGTTCCTTCCTCCTGAGTGTGCTCAGTACAACTCAGTTGAGAGTAGGGTAGTGGTGTATTGCTGGTGTAGATAGTGTACAATTCCATATGCCACCTGGTGATGGACTGGATGATTCTGCCACATGCAGTTCATCCCTTTAGTTGGGAACCCTCCTTCCTACCACCACCTGGATATCAGTTTTTGGGTGTGCTGGTATTGATTGGAGCTGGACCAGCCATCTTAAGTCCTCACATGATTGGGCTGGGACCCTCCTTCCACTGCTGATTGGATGATACATTTGCAATGCCACCTGGTTTTGGACTGGAGTTGACCCACCAATTACAGTCTACAACACTTTAGCCACTCTACACCATCAGCCCTGCCCTTTTCCATACTTCCAAAGTTCTTTTCTTTATACCTGTTCTTCCCGTTCACGTTCATCTCAGCCTCATCATTATCAATGATGGGATATCTTTCTATGGACAGGTTACAACTCTATTCTGACATCTGGAAACCCTTCATGATGGATCCAGGTGTGTTACGGGTTCTATAAGAGGGTCTATGTATTAATTTCCAGTCCCCCTCCTCCCCTGTTCTCTTTCCCAGTTTTTTTTCCTCCTCCTCTGGATTGTATCTTGTCCAGTCCTTTTCAATTCCCATCTTTGTTGGGACCAGCCTTCTCCACATCGGCTCCTGGATATGGAACGAGCAGTCACTCAGGCTCTGTATTCACCTTTTCTTCCTGCTCGAGAGGTTCTCTCTTTGGGGACTAAGGCCTCCCTGGAAGCTCTCATTCCCTTGGGTTGAGCACACGTGTTTCCTTCAGTGGATGCTTGTTGACCAGTGGAACTTCTGCAATCCCTTGGATCATCCCATTACCCTTCCCCCAGGGATCAAGACTGACCTTGTTTGGTGGCTCATCAGGGCTCTTACCACAGTGGGGGTTCCTCTTCTTCTGCCTCATCTCGACTCGAATCTGTTCACAGATGCTTCTTTAGTGAGTTGGGGATTTCCCTCAACTCTTGGGAGATTTCGGGTTGGTGGTCCATTGAGGAATCTACTTACTATATCAACCTCTTGGAGCTTTTAGTAGTTTGTTGCACTCTCACTCATTTCCTCCCACTCTTATGAGAGTGGGTTATTATGGCTCATTCCAATAATTCTACTGTCGTCAGTTATATCTCCAAACAAGGGGGTACCATGTTCAGGAACCTTGTTTTTTCCATCCCTGCCAAGCCTTGAGTGAACAACTCAGTCTGGTCTGGTTTTCAAAATACAGTTTCATGGTGATTCATTGCACTATTTTAGGTGATGACATCCTTCTGGACTCTCCTTCGCATTGTTACCCTTCTTTCATCGAGTGGAATATGGGAGTCCTTACCACTTTCCAGTTCCAAGCCACTTAGGTGGCTGACTATCGAGGAACCCTCTTGCATGAGTTCCACAAAGAAAGGGCTAGAATAATTTATTCAAGAGTAGGGAAGTAGTGTTCTACTGGTGTAGATGAGATGTGGCCTCCAGAGAAGTTGAGACATCACCTTTCTGATTGATATGGCCTCCTGATACCATTTACACAACCATTGGAGTCGAGCCATCACCTAACTGGATCATGTGGCCTCCTGATACCATTTACTCACAGAAGGTAGTTGAGTGGTCTCCTTACTGGATGACATGGCCTCCTGATACCATTGACATAAACTTTGGAGTAGAGCCGTTGAAATTGCAGCTCACCCCATCGATTGGGAGACCTCATTCTACCCTCGCATGGATGTCAGTACCCTACTAAGAGGTTTTGGATTAGAGTGAATCAATCACCATAAGTCCTCACATGAGTTGAATCCATGTGATTGACATCCTTTCGATACCAGATGTCAATTCCTGGATTGATAGATCAGCAATGATCCTTGTATCATACTCAGAAATCAGTGTGCATCATAATCTCTGATTCTTGGGTTTAAGGTGAAGATGGTATGATCCTCACACGGATGTTGGTACCCCATGAGAGGGTTTTAGATATAATTGACTTACCGAGTACAGTTCGCCGAGCCCTAGCCACTGTACACCTCTCAATTTCCACCCTTATGTTTTGCACATTCCACACATAGGCGAAGAGTATACCTGCTCAGAAGTGATGTGGTTCCCGTCTTTTGATCTTTGGATCTTTGATCTCATTGTCAGGGGTATCCTTCGATGCTTTTGAGGCTACTTCTTTTGTTCCCTCACATTGGTCTCTCCTCCTTCTCAATGTGAGATTCTAGCTAATCATGTGAGAGGAAGTAAGTACTGTATCAAAAGTTATAATTTTCTTATACTGAAAATGTATTTCCAATTTTGCATTGCTAAATTTGTATGTGTGGTTATTATAAAGCTTTGATGATAAAGTTAAGGATTATATTAAACAGTTTCACCCATTTTCAGTTTGAAAATAACTTTGAATATATGGCAGACTTTATATATATATATATATATATCTGTCTGTCTGATCTTGGAAGCTAGTAAAAAAAGAGAGAGAGAGAGAGAAATTATTATTATGGTAAAAACACTGTTCCAAGTATAATATAATAATTTTTTCTGCCTTGTTTGAACTTTTTACTTTCCAATTTTGCAAAGTGATTAGATTATTTTTTGAAGATGAATTGTATGCTGGTCAGAATTGCCCTTTTATGATTAATAATTAAACATTATATCTTTGCGATTACAATCTAAAGCCAATTTCATTTAGCAGAATAAAGTTGTATCATTAAATTTCAAGAGATTGGACAGAGTAAAAATATTAAATTACATTTGACTGTGAATCCTAGTAATTAACCTTAAAACATCTGTTTTTGTTGAAACTGTTTCCTTTTTGAGATGGCTTCCAGTCAAAAATCTATTTTGTTTCATAGCAGCAATAAATGTTAGCTGTAATTAAACATTTTATTTATTATAATTAAATTGTTAGGGAACTGATATTCTTTGGTATTTTGGGTTCCATTTTGTTTAAGAGTTTCTTCCTGAAGACTTTTATCATTAATATTGCAAAGTTTTATAAAAAAAAAAGGTGAATTTCTCTATTTGTCAGTTCAGTTCCATTTTTCACCATATAATGTGACAACTGATCATTACGTAGTCTTCAATTGTTAAGTAATAAATTGTACACTTAAAACTTTTCTACAGGTTGAGGCAGTTGAATGGCCTTTTGCTGATCTTGGAGAGGACCCAACCCAGGGAGAACTTCGTAGTATTGCTGATTTCCTTGCTCAAAAAGAATTTGATCTCGTAATTAATCTCCCGATGAGAAGTCGAGGTGCTCGAAGAGTGTCATCTTTCGTGACACATGGGTACCGAACAAGAAGAATGGCTGTGGAATTTGCTGTACCTTTGATTACAGATATCAAATGTGCAAAATTATTAGTTGAGGTTGGTATGAACTAGGTCAAAGTTATTAGTTGAGTTATGCATGAAATAGGTCGAAGTTATTAGTTTAGGTTGGTATGAACTAGGTGAAAGTTATTAGTTGAGGTTGGTATGAACTTGGTCAAAGCTGTTAGATGAGGTTGGTATGAATTTGGTAAAAACTATTAGTTGAGGTTGGTACAAACTAGGTTAAAGCTGTTAGTTGAAGTTGGTACGAACTAGGTCAGAGTTATTAGTTGAGGTTGGTATGAAGTAGGTCAAAGTTATTAGTTGAGGATGATATGAACTAGGTGAGATCTATTAGTTGAGGTTGGTACAAACTAGGCTAAAGCTGTTAGTTGAAGTTGGTACGAACTAGGTCAAAGTTATTAGTCGAGGTTGGTATGAAGTAGGTCAAAGTTATTAGTTGAGGATGATATGAACTAGGTGAGATCTATTAGTTGAGGATGGTACCAACTAGGTCAAAGCTATTAGTTGAAGTTGGTATGAACTAGGTGCTGAAAAACCGAGAAAATCTTTTTATATAAGAAAGACTTGTATATTAAGGAAGGCAAGTCACATGTTTAATGTTAAACCAAAATGCTTCCATAAATATATGCAGTGTCAACATTCTGAGTCAGAAACGAATTTGACTTGAATTTCCACATCATTGTTAATATGTGAATACATTGTATATTAAGGAAGTTTACCATAAATTATAAAGCAGTTTTAAAAACATAATTGAAATTACAAAGTTTTTAATGTTATAAAAATATAAAGGTTTACAGATCTAGTAAATGTTTTTTTTTTATTTTTGTAAATTTCTACAATTTTTGTTGTTTTAAAGACTATATGTTTTGTTATTTATTCATCAAGTTTGATTTTTTTTAAAACTAAAACTTTTAAAGCTGTTAGAGGGAGATATTTCAACCATCTTACAATAAGTTTAACAGTGAGTAATTTTTGGGTTAAATTCATTGTTTGGTTTAAGTTTACAAAAGATTATTAGACTAAAGAATACCACATAGGTTAAAGCTGTTTTGTATGGTTTCTAAGTGTTTATGAATGCAGTGTTAGAAAAGAGAAAACTATATTAAAAATAATTTCTCAACAGCTTTATTACAATATTTGACCTTTCTCCCAATTTCACTGTTATATCCTTAAGTTTATGATTTTTTGAATAGGCAAGAAAGAAAAATATTATTTATACATATGCTTGTTCATTGTCAGTTGGTCACAGGTGAAAGCTCGGAAGAAAATTTTCAAATGTTCAGAACCAGTAAGAAATAACTCAGAACAGAGTAGGATATAAGTACTCTGTCTTAGAAGAAGTTAAGCCTTTTAAGATAACCTGTTTTACATTAAGATAAATTACCTAGGGGAATAGTTGTAGAGGTGAGATGTTGAAGAATGTAGGAGTGATCATTATTAAAGCAATTTCCTCATATAGTAAGTCAGACTTGCCATAGAGTATCATAATTCAGTTCATGATTTAGCCTATGATGAGATGTAATCCTGATCTTGAAGACTGCATGAAGAATTATTCAGGGACAGCTAAAACTGAAACACAAAAAAAAAAAACATTTTAAGAAATACAGAAACCAAAAATAAAAATTAATTTGAATATTAAAGTCAAACATTGTACATATATTACAGTCAAATGCCTGAAAATATTATTTTAGTTTTAAATTTAAGTTTTTGGTTTCTCAGGTTTTAAAGTTATTTGTAATGGACAAAAATAAAAAATGCTTGAAATGTATAAGACTTGTAATGAGCTTTGTCATTGTTGTAATTTGAAAAGTATTATTTGTCCAAAGAACTGATTGGGAAATAAAAATCTTTACACATATGAAAAGAAATGTCATATAGAGTTCAAAATTCTTTAAATTTTTATAAGAATAAATTATTCTGCCTGAGAATGAAATGTGAATTATAACAGCATGAAGTATAAACTTAAAAAGGTTTTTAATCATTTATAGTTTCCTTCTTGATCTAGGCTCTTCGTTTGATTGGAGGTGCTCCTGAAATGAAAACACACATTGACTGTCTAACATCTCTCCAGTTGGTTCGTTTACCAGGACTTATTGACATTCATGTACACCTGAGAGAGCCTGGGGCGACTTACAAAGAGAACTTTGCCTCTGGAACTGCTGCAGCACTAGCTGGTGGCTTCACCTTGGTGTGTGCCATGCCCAACACAAACCCACCTGTTATAGACAAAGCATCACTAAGAGAAGTTCAACAGGTAACTTTTCAACCCATATTTATTTTGAAAATGTGTTTGCTTTTTGAAATTTATGAACCACATAATTACAAACCTAATATGCAGCTGCTTGAATTATTTTTGATAAATAGTGGACCCAGCATGGCCAGGTGGTTAAGGCACTCGAATCGTAATCTGAGGGTCGCGGGTTAGAATCCCCATCCCACCAAACATGCTCACCCTTTCAGCTGTGGGGGGCTTTATAATGTGATGGTCAATCCCACTGTTCATTGGTAAAAGAGTAGCCCAAGAGTTGGCAGTGGGTGGTGATGACTAGCTGCCTTCCCTCTAGTCTTACACTGCTAAATTAGGGACGGCTAGCGCAGATAGCCCTCGTGTAGCTTTGTGCGAAATTCAAAAATAAACAAACAGACAATAAATAGTTTGTTGTTTCAGTCATTTTTGATGTTTAACACCTCACCAAAGATGATATGTATATGTGATGTCACCCTATGGTCACAATTTGATGCTTGTGTTACATTATTTTCATAATGTGACATATACGTTGCTGAGTGGTCACAGGTACCACATTTTCTTGGGGACATTTTGAAGATGTAACTGAGACGTTATATATGACACTCACTAGGTGACAGAACAAGCAATATATACATTACAGAGAACACTACACTCTTCACTTGTGATCTGCCAGTGTTTTATATATATATATATTATAGAGTACACTACACTCTTCATTCGGGATTTGTATGCATGCCAGTGTTTTATATGCATTACAGAGTACACTACACTCTTCACTCGTGATCTGTATGCATGCCGGTGTTTTATATACATTACAGAGTGACACTACATTCTTCACTCGTAATCTGCCAGTGTTTTATATACATTACAGAGCGACACTACACTATTCAATCGTGATCTGTGTGTATGCCAGTGTTTTAGATATAATACAGAGTGACACTACACTATTCACTCGTGATCTGTCAGTATTTTATATACATTACAGAATAACACTACATTCTTCATTCATGATCTGCCAGTGTTTTATATACATTACAGAGTGACACCACACTATTCACTCATGATCAGTATGTATGCCAGTGTTTTATATATAATACAGACTGACACTACACTATTCACTCGTGATCTGCCAGTATTTTATATACATTACAGAATAACACTACATTCTTCATTCATGATCTGCCAGTGTTTTATATACATTACAGAGTGACACCACACTATTCACTCATGATCAGTATGTATGCCAGTGTTTTATATATAATACAGACTGACACTACACTATTCACTCGTGATCAGTATGTATGCCAGTGTTTTATATATAATACAGACTGACACTACACTATTCACTCGTGATCAGTATGTATGCCAGTGTTTTATATACATTACAGAGTAACACTATATTCTTCACTCGTGATCTGCCCAGTATATTTGGGCCTGGCATGGCCAGGTGGTTAGGGCGCTCGACTCGCAATATGAGGGTTGCGGTTCGAACCCCCTTCACACCAAACATGGTCGCCCTTTTAACCGTGGGGGCATTATAATGTGACGGTCAATCCCACTATTCGTTGGTAAAAGATTAGCCCAAGAGTTGGCGGTGGGTGGTGATGACTAGCTGCCTTCCCTCTAGTCGTACACTGCTAAATTAGGGACGGCTAGCTCAGATAGCCCTCGTGTAGTTTGCGCGAAATTCAAAACAAACAAACAACACTACATTCTTCATTCATGATCTGCCAGTGTTTTATATACATTACAGAGTGACACTACATTCTTCATTCATGATCTGCCAGTGTTTTATATACATTACAGAGTGACACTACATTCTTCACTCGTGATCTGCCAGTGTTTTATATACATTACAGAGTGACATTACACTATCCACTCATGTTTTTAACTGAAAGGTAAGAGAATTAAGTTTTGTTTTCTTACAGCATGTAAACCGGTTTTGGTATAAGAAATACTTTTTGTAATACCATAGAAGTGCAGAAACATTTAAATAGGGCTGTTTGACCATTTACAGATTTAATAATTTCGAATCTCCTTATACATGGACGATAATGAATCTTTTGCACTCTGCAATTTTGCCAATCAACAAATTCCTATAATATAATTGTAACAAAATAATATTTATAATAATTATATATTAATATAATCAATTCATAACTGTTAATTAACACATGTTAAACTTTGTAGAGTGTGTGGAATGTCACTCTAAGAGGAAATCTGACCAGCTGCAGCAAAACTGTGACTGCCTTTACTATGACCAGTGAGAGGAGGAGGAAGTGGGAATATAACAACTATAAGAAATATTAAAAATGTTTATTTGTATACATATGCTGTTATATTATGATACGTTGTCTTATATTTGCATTAAATATATATATGTATGGCTTTACAACTTAAAAAAACTGCATGTGTTTATATAGATATAAATACTAGCCAACATGCTTTGCATGTATAAAACTCATGTGGTTACAAAATCCCCTCCATGCACCATTTCAGTATAGTTCAGTATTCCCTCCAATCTAGTGTTTACAGACTCCTCATATAGCTACAGGGTATAAATATGGTAGCTATGTACATTTTACAAGCATATAGATAATATGTGGTATGTTGTTCACCATACATTATAGTGATCATACACGCAGTACCACTATCAATGATAACATTGTGGCAATGATATCAGGAGCAATAGTCATCCAATCTGCCTGAATCCAGTCCACAGGCTGTCATTGTTTCCTGAGAGAACTTCATACACCAGCTACGTATTTCATCAAATTAAACTGTTTCAAATAGGACAGTATTGCTATTATACAGATTTATGTCCATAATAGACATAAAAAAAAACTAAGGAAACAGATTATTAAAATCTAGCAGAGACCCGCAAAACATTTCCGGCCAAATTAGTATCTTTCTCGTAACAGTACTTCTTTAAATATAACATTTCTAGCACAATACAAACGAATTGTAATCATAGACAACGAAATGTGTAAATCCACTTGTATGTAGGCCATATTTTATAGAACTTTAACTTATGTTAGGCCTAAGTTCCTACCACCATCAGGGTGTCAGTTCCTGGGGGGTCTGGTGTTGGATTGGCATAGGACTAGCCCACACAAGTCCTCTACATTTCCTACCACAAACTGGATGACAAATTCCTGACACCGCCTGGTTTGGACCAGAGTTAAACCACCACATTTGTATTCCCTCTTCCTATTGTTGCCCAGATGTTGGGTTCCTGGGTGGCCTGTTGTTGGTTATGTGCTGGGTCTGCACACACATGCCCTGCCAGAGTTATTGGAACAGAAGCTACTTTTTCTCTTCTGCCACCTGGTCATGAGGTGAAGTCAGATGGAACCCTCCTCAACTACTGGACACTGGAAGATACATGCCCGATACTGCCTCGTTTTGGACTGGCATTGACCCATTAACTACCTATAATCATATTCTGCTCAGTTAAGTTGAGGTGAGCACTTACAAACAAATCATGACCTCCTCCTTCACACACACACACACTTACTTATCTTGCTCTCCTCCCACAGCTGGTGTTAGAAAGAGAGCAGATTGAAGCAAATCTATGGACAAGGCAAGATTTATGTCTATGCTGATGTATTTGTGTGTATGTAGTTCAGAATATATTTGTTGATATAGAAACAAGTGTAGTGAGTGCAGTATATTCATTGTTACTTTTACTATCAACAAGTCACAGACACCTACTGTATAAGAATCCACAAAAACAAAAACCTGACAAATTGGCATCCGCTACAGGATCCATACTGTGGTAAATGGAGGTAAAAGAAAACATGAATGCCAGCAGAAAACAAGGAGGCCTATCTATGCACAACTGTAGTAGTATTGGATGTTGTGTGGAGATTACAATCATTGTATAGAACTATGTAAACTTTTGATAAATTGATAGAAATTGGAGAACGACTTGGGTTAATAGACAGTGAACTATGAGAATTTGTCAATCCACAACAAGAGCTAGAGAGAGAAGAATGGCAACAGAAAAGATATATTGAGAAAGAAGAAAGGGAAGAAAACAAGATAGAGGAGAGACTAGAAATAGAGAGAATAAGAGCACAAATTGAGATTGCAAAACTTGCCCAACCAAAGGAAGAAGGACCCTAGAATGACAATGGAGTCAGGGCCAGATGACCGAAGCTATCGAAATTCGAGAAACATCAAAATGGATGCTTTCCTGGACAGATTTGAAAGATTCGCCCAAAGTCAGAACTGAACAAAGGTGACTGGGCAGTCTGTCTCAACCCACTTCTCACAGGAAAAAGCCTACAAGTATATGCAGGCATGGTGTCAGAAGATGCCATAGATTATGATAAATTAAAAGTAGCTTTACTGAAACGATATGAACTTACTGAAGAAGGTTTTCATCAGAAGCTCAGAGCAGTCAAACCCAACACTGGAGAAACTGTATTTCAGTTTGTGGCATGTCTGCAGCAATATTTCACCAGATGGACTGACATGGCCAAGTGTGAAATTAGTTTTGAGGGACTGGAAGACCTATTAGTGTGAGAACAGTTCATGATCACGTGCTCAAATGACATGTCACTGTTCTTAAAGGAGAGAGCACCAAAAGACATAGATGAGATGATCCAGCTGGCAGAATAGTATATGAAAGTCCATAGAGGTAGTATAACTGGCAAGTCCAAGAATGTGCATTTAATTGTGAAACCAATAATGGCTGACTAGAAGCAGGAGCTTACCAAAGGTGAAAGGAGGTTAATAGACAGAAGGAAGAAGAGATGCTATGTTTGTTATAAAACGGAACACATTGCAAAGGAATGCAAGTCCAGTGCCATCAAATAGCAGCTGGAGCTATTTACAAAGACAGTGCTGATTAGAAACAAGAAAAGAATGACTGGCATTATGGACGTTTCTGCCATAAGAAAGAGAACCAAGGCTACTCTTCACATTCAATACAAGAGAGAATGATTGATCAGTGCACGACTAATAGTCGGCTCAAATTAGCAAATGGATCAACAGTGTCAATAGTGATAGGAGCATGCAACAAATATCAAGAGGTGCCTACAAATCATAATATGCCAGTATCTGAAGGCTATGTTGGGGACAAGAAAGTAAAGGTTCTATGCGACACTGGATGCAGTAGTGCATCAGTGAGAACTAGTCTAGTATCTAATGATCAGACGACAGATAAGGTATAGCTGTTTATGCTAATTGATGGGACAGTGACAAAATTCACCATAGCTAAAATAAAGGTGGATACTCCGTATTATGTAGGAGACCTTGAAGCCATGTGTATCAAAGAACCAATACATGACTTGGTAATAGGAAACATACCAGGCAGTAGAAACCTGGAGGAACTAAGCAGAAAAAAGCATGAAACAAGACATCAACCCCCCTCTAAATGTCAAAAGGCGACATCCCAAACTTAGGTTTGCAGGAAGTAAAGGAAGCACAGAAGAAAGACTCTTCACTGCATAAAATTATGGGGAAAATGCCCTGGTGAAAGTCGAGCACAGAATAAAAGAGAAAAATACATATAGAATAGAGGAACGAAAGGGAATTCTATATCAAATCTATCAAAGCAGTTATAATGGGGAAGTTAAACAGATCATAGTACCAACAGAATACTGAACTCAAGTGATGAACAAAAAAAGACAGAATCAATAGTAACTTCCATTGGCCAGGAGTCATAGGAGATGTGAGTAGATTCTTCAGATCATGTGACATCTGCTAAAGAACAGTATCAAAAGAAAAGGTAGCCAAGGTGCCATTGGAGAAGATGCCAATCATAGAAGAACCATTCAGTAGAGTAGCTGTGGATTTGATCAGACCACTAGTGCCTGTGTCTGATAAAGGCAACTGGTATGTGCTTACAGTAGTCAACTATGCAACACGTTATCCAGAAGCAATAGCACTAGCAAAGATAGAAACAGAAAGAGTAGCAGAAGCCCATCTGGAGATACTTTGCGAAGTAGGCTTTTTGAGAGACATTCTAAGTGACAGAGGAACCCGATTTACCTCAGAAGTGATGCAGGAAGTGTGCAGACTCATTAGTACTTGGCAACTCTTTACCACCCCATACAATCCGAAATGTAATGGACTTTGTGAGAGAATAAATGGAGTTTTAAAGAGCATGCTAAGGAAGATATGCCAAAAGAGACCACATGACTGGGAGAGGTATCTGCAGGTAGTATTATTTTCTTGTTGAGAAGTCCCACAGGCAAGTACAGGATTTTCACCCTTTGAGTTACTGTACGGATGAACAGTACGAGGTTCGATGCAAATATTGAAAGAACTATGAACTGGAGAAGAAGAGTTAGAAATAAGGAACAGGTATCAGTATGTGCTAGACCTCAGAAACCGACTGGAGGAGACCTGTCAACTTGCTTGACAGAGTTTTATGCAGCTAAAGGCAGTCAGAAACATTTCTATGACAAGAAAGTCAAGAATCAACATCTCAAGGTTGGACAAAAGGTCTTA